GAAAAGCTACTGCCAAATTAAAACTGGAAATCTGCTTCACGTATTCCTATACTACATGTAAACTACAATATATTTAAACATCTATGTTACATTTTCAAATCTACGTTACAATGCATTTACATATTTACATTATTTGAAACTCGCGGGATTCGAACCTCGGACCAAACTACCAGTATTCAGCGACTTTACCGCTCGGCCGCTGGTGGGCCCCATCGTCTGATGCAACACTAGCAGATATTGAGGTACAGATGGCTCTTACCCAGGGAACTTACTATACTTCTACAAGGGAAAAGGGTGTAATGTCTAGTGATCTTGGCACTGTTTTTTTCGCCACCAGCCGCCAAGGTCAGTCACCTTATATGACAACCTATGACTTCTATTTTATGCGAATATATTATGGGTACTCTAATCTCAAGATAATCCAGAGTTGCAAGACTACTAATTCAGAAAGCCACAGAAACCATCAAGAATCACTTGCTACAACATTTCTCACAGTAACTCAACTACCGCTAGAAAACATGTTGCATGAGAGGATGTTACAAGTACAAAATTCGAAATCTTTTGGCTATTAAGTAAAACTTTGATATTTTTTCTGTCCGTGATTACTTTAGTGACCCCTCTACTTTATTAAAAATAGCAGCTGGTTGCTTTATATGATTAAAGCTCGGGCCTTCTTGAGAGCCTTTCTAAACGAAACAGAGCTACTAATGGGAATAAATAGTAATTACTTTATATTAAATGTGCAACAAAAAAATTTTATTCCTTTTCAATTATCTGTATTAAATTAAACTGCTTAGAAAAAAAAAAGTTTTTTGTAAGATAAAAATAAAAGTTTTCAAAAAAGGGCTTTTATTTCAGGATTTAAATCTCATTTACTTTAGTATCTTTAATTATAGGAACTTAAAAAGTTTCAAAAACATGTAGTCAAAATTTACTCTGTTTGTAAAAGAACATAATTGTTTGCAAAGCTTAATTAATGAATATTAAAATAATATGATACTTTTCTTACTGCAACAACACAAGAATTAAAAGCATTTTTTGAAGATATGTACGGCTAGGCGACGCATTCAAGTTCAGTTATGAAATTAGGAATGAAAATTTACGGAACACTATCAATTCTATCAAGCAGAATATTTAAGCTTTGCGTATATAATTTTGTATGTGGGTAACTAAAAAAAAGCACTTTTTATAATTGCTACTCGCGGATAAAAGGTATATTATTACATTCTGTCTTCTGTTAAGAGTTAACGAAGGAACTCGGAAAAAATTGATTAATAAACACTTCGAAATGTATGAATCTGCAGAGGTGCCTCAAAGTTTCCTTTCTGTAACTTCGCAATGCTTTTATTGTTGTTAGGAAAACACTGAGGCAGGTAGTTGTCCCATTGCTGAACCAAGATGTCCTACTAATGAAGTTTTGCTATCTAAGGTCTGTCTAAGTTTTGCTGTCTAAGGTCATTCATGAACGTAGTGTACAGCAGAACACTACGTTCATGAATGTCCTCTCACGGAGGGAATGCACATTCCGTTCCCGCAGACGAACAGGGAGGCATTCAACAGATTTATGGTCAAGCAGCGACACCAGACCAACAAATTACTCAATAATGATAAGCCAATGACATGGGCCAGACTTATGCCATGTGCCATAACTGGTCAGTATTCAGCAAATTTCAATATAATCAATCATTCAAGCATAAGTAATCTAGGTATGTCTGCGATGTGTGATATAGTGTGGGCAAGCGTGTCCTAATGTATGTTATTATATTATTATTATTTATTTTTTTTTATTTTGCTAAGTGTTATACTAGCCTGTCTTATTATCCAAAAAAATTTACGGAACAAAGCAAATTAAAGGTAATGTCATGTAGGTATTTAGAAGTATATGTGTAACAGTTGTTGGATTGCATGTCAGCAAATATGGATTAACAGAAGCATGTAAATAACTACTAATGTATATCTGCCCTTGTTTAGCCATGTACATGCTATTCTTGAAGATTCAATTCACGGACCCGGGCACTTTGGACGGGTGTCACCGGTGGCATTGGTTCGCGGAACTGCCAACCGGATTGTCCGGCGTGGTTTGGGGCGCCTTGGGCAAGCCTCCATGTGGCCTCTCTGGCTTTACTCTGTATAAGGGCGGACGTGGCCCTATATGCTAATTAACTTAATAGTAAAGGGGGGGTGGCCACGTCCTCCGTCACTATCACTATCACTATCTAAGGTCTGATGCAGTCTTTGGAATTATGCGTCCCCAAGATGCTTCAGTACATTCTATCACTGACATGTGAAATTCACTCAGAACTGTCACAAAACTAACCCATTACGAGCATCGCCCAGCCAAAGCAGCATACCCTCTACCAAGTACGTCCTTTTGAGCATGATATTTAGATGTACCACCAAATATGCACAAGCCATCCATATAGGGGAATTACACGTAGCTTTATAGCAGGCCTGCTTACCTCTTTCCAGTGAAACGTTGTCTTCCCTCTACCGCTCCGAAGTGGACCCTCATGAGGGTCTAAAGTCTAATGCATAGGCTGGATTATCCGGTCCCGAGGCTTTGGTAGCCCTGTCACCAGCTGTAGGCGTGAGCTGTAATACTCACGCCTACTTGTCCTGACAAGATGACCCCATTTACGAGCATCTCCGAACCAAGTCAGAGTATCCACTGTAGAGTACTGCTTTGTGACTGCGATAGTAAGAAATACCATTACGTTTTACTCAAGCCATTCGTATTGAGAAGCCACCCTCAGCTAGATAGCCGTTAGCCGCTCTCCTCCACTGCGCCAAGTTTCACTCTCAGAGAGATCTAAAGTCTGATATAGCCTTCTCGACACAGCATGTACAGACCATGAATTCTGTTTCATGATCCTGACAACAGAAAAGTCCTTATCCGATGCCTTTTCGGAGATAACCAGGACCTTAATTGCAGGACGCATCTGTCGCACAGCTGAGAAGCTTTTGCAGTTTTCTGCATTCTTAAGAGGGGATATTCAAGACCAAAGTTTATAGCAAACTGCAAACTATCTCATAGAGATCTTCTGACACCTTCCGATCTTTAAAAATGGCTAGTGACGATACTGAACGTAATCGATAATCATATTTTCTAAGGTAATACTGAACGTCATCGATAATCATGTTTTCTAAGGTAATCATCTCTACAGAAATAAACCTTCGTTTAGAATATGGGTTGTGGTCTCCAAAATGTTTCACTGTATTTATGTTTTAATAAATATAGGTCACTTTTAAAGACGATCACCTTAAAAGGTTACTAAACACTCGATTCGATCATGACTTTTAGATAAGACATAGACATTATAGACATGATACCATCATTCATGCGTACCAAGCGGAAACGGTTTGATTACTTTACATATTGTTCAATTAAGCATAAAATAATAGAATGAATCTATATGGTCGAGATCAAAATGGTAACTGAAACGTTTATTCAGATAATTTGACAATATAATTACTGAAGCTGCATGCTTCAAATTTTTACAGAGTAAAACGCTGGCTGATGTTATTGTTCAAATTACAGAACTAATTTGAAAATTATATTTTCGAACAATGCAGAGTTATTAATGAAAAGGAAAAGGAATGTTTGAAAACGCGAAATACAAACATTTGCTTTAAGCTGCCTTTCCGGAGCTAAAAAATTACTCGGAAGTTACATACATTCGAACTCCTTCAAGTAACCTGAAAGAATAAATTTACAAATATCACACCCGCAAAATCTCTTTAATGATGAAAGGTGCAAGTTATCCGCATTGTCATAAGTACTTTAGAAGTTTCTTTGAAAACTAGGTGAACGTCTGAATAAGAGGATCGTAATGATGTCAAAGTTTTCGCTAATGTGTGTGAATGAAAGAATAAAACAAATTTAAGAAAAGTAGAACGAGATGTAAATTATGTACTGTATCGAATTCTCTCTCGAATATTATGATAGCCTGATAAATAAAAAATATTATCATATACCATGAAATCTGCATCTATTCTTTGTATAAACGAAAGTGCTATTCATTCCTAATGATTTTTAAAACACGGATATTTTGTGCTGTCAGATAGCTGAAAAAAAAAATTAGGTCAAATCGTTTATTACAGGAAGACGCAAAAGTATTTTTTGGATATTCCTCCATTTCTAATGTCGTTTTAACTTATCTGTTTATAAACGCCTTTATATTCTCCATTAAACTCTCCATTATTCCATACAATTGAATTATTCCTTTTACCTGTACAAAGCACTTTTCATTTATGATTATTAACCACTTATATACGACCATGTTTGCCAGGCAACCGATCAAAAATCATTCGACCGTTTCTAACCAAGCGATTGCGGTGAAATTTTCAATTTATAATTAAAACGCTAGATTATGTTTTCTTACTTAACAATTCAAGAGGTAAGAGATAATTAGTAATTAACGCTTGCAGCTAGAAAATCGGAAAAATACAAAGGAAGGAAAACAAATTTTAACTTTTTAAACTATAACAATCTGTAACAGTAAATAAAATGAAAACATTGGACATTTTTAAAAATAAGTTATATGTCCACTCTGCTTTAAAAGAAATGTTTTAATGCTATTTTCTGAAGGTCATGATGTTATTTCTAAGTGCGTTAAAAAATAACATTATGTAGGTATAGGATTTTAAATTAATCAACCAGTTATCTTATTATTCCGCCTGTACCTTCACTTCTACTTTGCCAGCTTCCATCAGGATACAAATTAATTAGTGCATTTAAGCACATAATTGTTTAGTTCGAGGATGTCGGAGTTCGAAAGTGGACGCGAAGCTGCGTGGTAAATTCTTCGACTCGCGTTTGTTTACTTCGGCGAAGTCCTACGTGTTAAAGAGCGGGTTTTCTTCCCGTATTGTGGTGTTTAATTTGTGCTTTAAGTAAAGCTAAAAACAGAGTGTCTTGTTCTCCTGGTTTGGTTTTTTCGTTGAAAATTCAGTTAGGAGAATTTTCCTTTTCATTTTCATTTTGAGTGTAATGAAGAGAAATGGAATGGAGCTCTGATGTGGACTGTCAGTACAAACCGCCCATATCGTCAGAGTGTTTATTAAAAATTTGTCATGAAAGAGGACTAAGAAATTACACAGTTTTTCTTAAAGGTATAGTGAAGAATATAAACGCAAACAATCCTAAAATTTTGAAAGATGAAATATCTAGCAAAGTGGCTTTAGTTAAAAATATTGACTTCATTAAAATTATAAGATATGGAAGGCTTCTAATAAATACCTCGGTGGCTGAATGTGCATGGCAAGTTTTAAACATATCTGAATTGCATAATATAAAGGTCTTCCCGATGCTTGCCATGTCTGAACTGACAAGCAAATTTCTTCTATCATCCATTCCAGTAGAAGTTGAGCTCTCAGAGCTAGCTAACGAGTTGAATTATAATAACGAGATTGAAGTATTAAATTTAAGAAGATTTTTAGCGAAAAGTCCAGACAGTAATAAGAAACCTCCAGAAAGAGTACTCGTTACGATTGCAAGACACCACTTACCAGAATATGTAAAAATATGTCTGACAAGACATAGGATCACAAGGTTCTACGATAATCCAAGGCAATGTCCTCAATGCCTGAGGTTTGGTCACGGGATTAAAAGCTGCAGAGGATTAGTCAGACGTAGCAAATGTAGCGAAAATCACACCAGGGCACAGTGCCAAAGTGAGCAGATCAAGTGCGCATTGTGCAGTAACTCACATGAAGCATCCTCGAAGAACTGTCCCAAATACATCGAAGAGGGCAATATTCTCAAATATAGTGCTGACCATCATGTTCCCGTAGTAGAAGCAAGGCACGCTGTAGCAAACTAAAATTCTTATGCGAAGGTGGCAGGAACTCAGGTGTCTACTCCTGCAAAAGGAAGACTTCCTGAAAGTCATGACTCCAATAATAGCTGCGCTTGCAAAGGATCTTTTGAAAGTGCGTTTAAAACAGCAGGCTGACTACTTTCGAAAAACTCTTAGCATGGATTGGATCAAAAGTATGAAAGCATGTTTAACAAGTTATAAGAGAAGCTCGATACAAAGTTGAGCGAGATATCAGGATGCACTAGAGGATAAGCATATTGGGAAAAGAGCTCTTGAGTCTGACAGTGACCTGGACTTGGATGAGCATATTTCGGAAGTAGAAGCAGTAAGAAGTAAGGGCAAGAAGCCCCATTCTAAATCAGAACCCATAACAAGGGAAGCCTGCATTCTAAGCAAGTTTGACATGAGCAAACCAAAAAAGTCTGGCCAAGGTTAGAAACCAGGATTTTATTCATAAAATAAGTTTTTTTCCCCTTCCTGCTTCTCTCTTTGCTTCTTTTTCTCATCTAGTTCGATAGGATCTATGTTTTGTTCATGGAATGCAAGAAGTATCTCCAACAAAAGAAACTTTATCATTAGCAGGAAAGAATTCTTCTGCGACGTGTTAATTATTCAGGAGACCTGACTTTCTAATTTAGACGATTTTTGCTTACCCGATAAAGTTATTTTTCGCAAAGATAGATTAAGCTCCTACCAAGGCGGGGGTCTAATGATTGCCATCAAGAAACAATGGGCAAGCTTATTTGTACAAGATAGCAGTTATGATTTAGCGGGAGGGGAAATTATGAGAGTAGATCTCCGAGCAAATAGTTTTCGATATTTCAGTGATCAATATCTACCTTCCCAATGGCCAGTTCAGCGTGAAAGAGTGGGATAAAGTTCTGACTAGTTTGCCCGGCAAGTTTATTATCTTAGGAGACTTCAACTGTCATAACCCGGCTTGGGGGTCAAGCAGGCTGTCAGCAGGAGGTAGAGTGCTTTTGGAGTGGTGTAACAACAACAACCTTTGCATTCTAAATACAGGGAAGCCCACTCATGTAAGTCCCGGAGGAATCGAATCCTGCATTGACATCGCTTTGTGCTCTGCCGAGCTTTATGGTCAATTGAAATGGGAAGTTTCTCCTGATCCCTTTAGCAGTGACCACTACCCTATAAAAATTAAGTTCGCAAATGATAACAACGCCTCTGCTGCTGGCAACCAGAGAATAATCGTTCGTTATGACTGGAAGAAGTTCGCTACAGAAAGCAGTAACAGATTCAGGGCTTTGCGCCCAGAAGAAAGGAACCTGGAAAATTTCAACCGCATCTTGAGCGCCACGAAAAAGGAGAACCTCAAAAAAATTGCGATTCAACGCAAAAACAGCTTCATTCTTGGCCAGAAAAGAAAATGTCTTAGACTCTCTAAAGCTCATCTTTCTATAGGATACTGGATCTCTTGCAAGAAATGGAATGCTTATCTTAAGAGGGTCATTAATATCAAGAGAAGGTTTTATTGGGAAAAAATTTGTAGTCATTCCAGAAAGGATGGCAATTTATTTAGGATAGTTAAAAATATTCAAAATAACAAAAGTCAGATCCAGTTCTCTAACAATATCTTAAAGTACCAGAATGGCCACGCCTGGTCACCTGAAGAGCAAAGTGTAGTATTTGCTAAGTACTATTCAAGATTCACTATTCAAAAGTTCATTCCCCTGGATTTTAGTGACGAAGAGAGTAGCTGTATTAATAGCCCCTTCTCAGGTTTTCAGCTCGATAAAGCTATCAGGAGCCTCAAAAACTCAGCTCCGGGACAAGATGACCTTACAAGATATGCTATCACAGTTTTAGCTGATGACTGCAAGCATGCACTCCTTGAGGCCGGCAACAAAACATGGAATTTGGGTCTTATCCCTAAGAATTGAAAAGAAGCTATTGTTATCCCGTTTTTGAAACCTGGGGGCGACAGTGCGCTGGTTTCTAGCTACAGACCTATTTCTTTAACGCAAATTCTTGCCAAAGTAATGGAAAGGATGATTCTCAATAGATTACTTTCGAGGATCCAGCAAAGTAAAAGACTCTCTAACATGCATTACGGCTTTATTCCAAATAGAAGTTGCCTGGTCCTTGCTTAACAAATTGTTCAGTAGTATCCTGCACCACAGGAAGCAAAGGAAAGTTGTTTCAACTGGTGGCTCTTGATCTCAAAAGCTGCATTTGATTCAGTTTGGCATGATGGCCTGCTCTATAAAATCATGCAATCGGAGTCGGAGTTAAAGGGAATAGTATCCTGTGGATTGCCAATTTCTTAAACCAGAGAACTATTAGAGTAAAGTGGAGAGAGGGTTCTTTCCAGAAGCTATGAAATTATCAGCGGAGGTCCCTCAGGGCTGCATTTTGTCTCCTATTTTCTTCACAATTTTCATGCACGATATCTATGAAATTATCCCGGCTGATGTCGACTGCTATGTGTATGCGGAACGAACATACTCCTCTACAGTGCAGATGTCTCATTCCTCCAAGGTAGTCAGTAATTTGCAGCGTGCGCTGTTTAAAGTGCATAGATGGGCTAAAAGAGTGGAACTTATGCATTTTCCCAGAGAAAAGTAAATCGATTATTTTCGGCGGGACTAAGGAGTAGTGAAGAGAATCTACTGAAGCTTGATGGTGTTATCATCCCTACGGAAGATCACATTAAAATTCTGGGCATGTGCTTTGATAGTAAATTCGAGCTGGAACGTCCATGTAAATAAAATAGTACCGAAACTGGAAAGAATGCTGAATGCTTTTAAATTTATCGCAAGCCCCAGGTGGGGTGCTAGAAAAGTGGATCTCGTTAATATTGCAAATGCTACAATAAGAGGAAGAATAGAATATGGCAGCTGCCTCCTCCTTTTGTCTACCTCTCAACAAAATAAGAAAAAGCTCGAAATAGTTTATAATCACGCTTTAAGACTGGCTATAGGGGCGCCTATCAGCACTCCTCTCCCGTTGTTATATGTTGAAGCAGGGGTTTTGCACCTTAGATACAAGAAGATGCATCACCGCAATGAAGTTCCTAATAAAGAATATCGCTCTGTCAGCAGCCTCTCCCATTGCGGAAAATCTGAAAAATTGCTTGCAAAGATGCAAGTACAAGTGGAGCAAAATACGTAAGCCCATTAGCCAGTGTGTTAAAGATAAGCTAAGCAATCTCGATCTAGATTTCAGTAAGTGCATTACTTTTAACAATGAACTAGATTTTTCTGAAGAAGTTAAGTGTTGTTTCAAAACTAATGAGTATGAGTTCCAGAATAAAAATCTTTCGGATGTGGAGATACAGCAATTTTTCCGTTCCATTATTAATGATTACGTGAATCAAGGGTTTAAAATCTACGCTACAGACGCTTCCAAGTCCGATACAGGAGTTGGCATTGCGGCTGTAGATCGTACCGCGGCAATTGTCAGTCAGCGCATTGACAATAGAAACTCCATCTTTTCAGCTGAGGCTTGGGCCATTTGTAAGCTCCTTGAGATACTGAATCCTCACGATAAGATTGCTGTCCTTACAGATAGCAAATCTGTAGTCAGCGCGTTGAGCTGTGTTCATAGGAGATCCAACTCTCTCATTCTTAAGCTCTTCGAGCGGATTAAGTCTTTCCATCACCTCACAGTCATCTGGGTTCCTGGCCATAAGGGTATAGGGTTCAATGAAAGAGCGGATAAAGTTGCGAAAAGAAGAAATATGAATAACTTGGGGGATATTTCAGCAGAGGATGCGTGTAGGTTCATCGAGAATACTATTAAGAAAGAGCAAGTCGACAGCTGGCGGACTTCTTACACCGGCCGCAGATTCAGCTACTGTAATGTTCACTGTGAGTGGAGTAAGGGTTTAAACATCGATAGGAAAATGGAAGTTGTAATCAGTAAAATAAGATTGCAAATGTTGGACACGACTCAACTGTTGTACAGGTATCGTAGAGCGAATTCGCCATTTTGTGACTCATGTTATACGATTGACAGTACTGAACATGCAGTTATTCACTGCACAAAGTACGATAGCGCCAGAAACATTATGCTCAAGAAAATGAAAATCAGCAATATTGACCTCTTAGCTGATCTTTTAAATCATTGTAATAAGAAACCTTGGAGATATTATTTTTAGGCAAATTTGTCATCAAATATATCTTAAAGAATTCTTAAGCACTTTAAGTGTACGGGTTTGATTCTCGGACTGACGTTCCCCCTTGAATTGAGAAATGCAACTGTAAATACTATTTTGAGTTGGAGCATAAGGCGCCAAAGGG